ACTTAAAAAACACAACATACATGTACATGTTTATTAGTCAACGGATATACTTCTGGTCATATCTCTAGTTCTCCCTTGAATCAGAAATGATGATATAAATACTCTAAGAATGATAAAGAGTTGAAAAGGTTGTGCATTGTAAAATTCACTAAGCTCTGTGGTTGAATTAGCTATACCAGTTTAACTTATTTTGCTACTCAAAGCACCTTGATTAACAATTTTTAATCATACTGTTTTCTGAAATGTGAAGTTTTTTCAACATGGATACAAGTCACACCTTTTCAGCTTCTGAAAACAATGCATGAAAAAAAACCCTGCTTTTCAAATACTGTAACTCTTTCCAAGTACTTGTGATCATCAGTTTTTAGCTCACTTGAGTGTTTCTGGTTTTCTGATCACATTTTGTTTGTCATCCATCTCTCCGCCTGTAAACTTTTCACATTTTTGTCTTCTTCACTAGAACCGCTGGGCCAATTTCAACCAACCATGCCACAAAGCATCTTCGGGTAAAGGGGATTCAAGTTTGTTCAAGTGAAGGGTCACACCCTCTTTCAAGGGGGGATAATCAAGAATTAGTGAAAATTTGGTGGTATCATTTTAAAAAAGTCTTATCAAGAACCAATGACTGGACCCAAAAAGTTGAAACTTTCTTTACATAGACTTAGTGTGGCTTCAAAATTTGTTAAAATATGACCCACTGGGGTAGGGTGGGGCCACATATAGGGATCCAATGATTTACATAGAAAAATGCAGGGGATTTTTTCCATCATAAATCTTCTTCTCATGAACAGCAAGGGCATTATTGTCATCCGTTTTCGCAAAAGGGACCTAGGGGACATTAAATCTCATTTGTCTGTCAGTCTGTCCGTCTGTCACAATAAATTTAACCTTGGTCATAACTTCTGAATAATAAGAGATAGGGCTTTCATATTTCACATGTACATGTACATTACCTACAAGAACTTTCTAAACATACTATGATTTTTGAACCCATGACCTTGACCTTGACGTTTGACCTACTTTTCAAAAAAATTAACATTATTTGAAATTGATCATTTTGAAAGAGAAAAGATAGGGCATTCATATTATATATGTATATTACCTGTGACAAGACCTTTCTAAATATATCATGACTTTTGAATCTGTGACATTGACCTTAAAGTTTAACCTACTTTTCAAAAATGTTATATTTCCTTATAACTTTTGATTGAGAAGAGATATGACTTTCATATTTGACATGTACATTACCTGTAACAAGATGTTTCCGTGAATACTATGATTTTTTTACCCCTTGACCTTGATGTTTTACCTAATTTTCAAAAATTTTAACTTTTATTCGGTGATTACTTTTAAATGACATATGATAGGGCGTGCATATTTGAAACAATATGTCATAAATAATGGCATCCCATCCACTAGGACACGGAAAGCAGGGGACCACAATTCTTTGAATTTGCTTGTTAGTCATTTTGATATGGAAACATCCTCATGTAGTGTAGATTCAAGTTTTTTATGCCCTGCCATGAATATGGCTGAGGCATATAGCGTTTGTCATGTCCGACTTCAATCAAACGTCATTTGCTGATACATACTGATGTAAGCTTTTCAACTGCATCAACCTTTTTTTATCTTGACCTTTCCTTTGACCTTGACCTTACTTTTCTTAAATTAGTGTCTAGATCAGTTTTGAATAAACAATTCAAGATATATTTATCAAACTTCATATGCTGATATATACTGCTGAGAGCTATCAATTGCATCAACTTTTTTGACCTTGACTTTTCCTTTGAACTTGACCTCACTTTTTTAAATTAGTGTTTATCTACGTTTTTAATAAACCATTTATGATATTTTAATCGAACTTCATATGCTAATAGTAAATACATAATGATATAAGCTTTTCAACTGCGTCAGCATTTTGACCTCAACCTTTCCTTTGACCTTGACCTCTCTTTTCTCAAATGAGTGTTAAGCTCAGTTTTAAATAAATCATTCAAGATATTTTTATCAAACCTAATATGCTGATATGTATTGGTGAGAGCTATTCAACTGCATCAAAAACTTTTCACCTTGCACTTTCCTGTGACCTTGACCTCCCTTCTCTTTAATTTGTATTTTGCTTAGTTTTAAAGAAACAATCTAAGATATTTTTATGTAAGCATGCACTTATACATAATTTTGTGAGAATTTATCATCTATATCCATTTTTTTTATGATTTTAGTTTCAATTTTAAAGAAACTGTTCAAGATATTCTCATCAAACTTCATACACTCGTACAAATTTTCATGTTGCATTAGTAATATACATTCGGCGGGGCATTTAAGTCCTATGGACATATTTCTAGTTTTCAAATCATAACCTCCGAGGATAAGGTCAGGACACAATAAGGGATCAAAGTTTTATATAGGAATAAAAGGAATTTTTTTTTTTCAAAATTCTTCTTTTTAAGAACAACAAAAGCATGATTAATATGGAAACATTCCCAAGAAGTGTAGATTCAAGTTTGTACAAATCATGACCCCGTGGGTTAGGGAGGGGCCATTTTTTTCCTGCCCCTATTTGCTATCCACATGGAAATGCAAATTTTAAAACCATTTTACACATCCACAGGACAAAATCAATCATCTTCCAAATGATCATGATTTAAGGCTAGTGCATAAAATATAAGGGAAGTTCTGGGAACTAGGGTGTTTAAACATGTTAAATATTTTTTTTAAACAATTTGACCCCCATTTGAACCCCCAGGGGGAAAATAAAAATTACGAAACCTTACTGCACATCTATAGGACACCATCAACCATCTCCCAAAAGATGATTAGGCTACTGTGTAAAATGTAAGAGGAGTTCAGGGAACCAGGGGCTTTTTGCATAAAAAACGTCATTTTTCGACCCCCATTTGACCCCCAGAGTGAAAATGAAAATTCCGAAACCTTACTGCACATCTACATGACACCACCAACCATCTCACAAAAGACAATTTGGCTACTGTGTAAAATGTAAGAGGATTTCTGGGAACCAGGGGCTTTTTGCATAAAAAAAGTAATTTTTCGACCCCCATTTGACCCCCAGGGTGAAAATGAAAATTCCGAAACCTTACTGCACATCTACATGACACCACCAACCATCTCACAAAAGACAATTTGGCTACTGTGTAAAATGTAAGAGGATTTCTGGGAACCAGGGGCTTTTTGCATAAAAAAAGTAATTTTTCGACCCCCATTTGACCCCCAGGGTGAAAATGAAAATTCCGAAACCTTACTGCACATCTACATGACACCACCAACCATCTCCCAAAAGATGATTAGGCTACTGTGTAAAATGTAAGAGGAGATCTGGGAACCAGGGGCTTTTTGCATTAAAAACGTCATTTTTCGACCCCTGTTTGATCCCAGGGTGAAAATGAAATTTCCGAAACCTTACTGCTCATCTACATGACACCACCACCACTATCTCCCAAAAGATGATTAGGCTACTGTGTAAAATGTAAGAGGAGTTCAGGGAACCAGGGAATTTTTGCATAAAAAACGTCATTTTTCGACTCTCATTTGACCCCCAGGGTGAAAATGAAAATTCCGAAACCTTACTGCACATCTACATGACACCACCAACCATCTCCCAAAAGATGATTAGGCTACTGTGTAAAATGTAAGAGGAGTTCAGGGAACCAGGGAATTTTTGCATAAAAAACGTCATTTTTTGACTCCCATTTGACCCCCAGGGTGAAAATGAAAATTCCAAACCTTACTGCACATCTACATGACACCACCAACCATCTCCCAAAAGAAAATTTGGCTACTGTGTAAAATGTAAGAGGAGTTCAGGGAACCAGGGGCTTTTTGCATAAAAAAACGTCATTTTTCGACCCCCATTTGACCCCCAGGGTGAAAATGAAAATTCCGAAACCTTACTGCACATCTACATGACACCTTCAACCATCTCCCAAAAGACAATTTGGCTACTGTGTAAAATGTAAGAGGAGTTCAGGGAACCAGGGGCTTTTTGCATAAAAAACGTCATTTTTCGACCCCCATTTGACCCCCAGGGTGAAAATTAAAATTCCAAAACCTTACTGCACATCTACATGACACCACCAACCATCTCCCAAAAGATGATTAAGCTACTGTGTAAAATGTAAGAGGAGTTTGAGAAAGAAGAGTGTGACAGACGGACGGACGGACGGACAGACATGAGTAACAACAATATACCCGAACTTTCTTTAGAAAGTGCGGGTATAATAAGTAAAGATCTTTTCACCTTTTCAAGCTTGTTACCAGAAAGAAGAAAAAAGATAATTGTGGGATATTGGGTGCCGCTGAATTAAATAACAACGAATCGCAAATTCATAAATCATAAAGGAGCAAACATCTAGCCGATTGATTTATAGGAAGGAAAACTTTGACCATATATACACTGTATGAAACAATAATGAACAAGCAGATGATTCATAAACTAGAACAAAAGATTTCTGTGTTCCAAAAAATGTTATCAGAACGGGGGATACAAACAAATACTTTTTTACCTTCTGAAAATTTCATTTTGAGAAAAGCAATGAGGCGTAAAATACTTGAAGTCTCTATATAAACCATCCAAAGAGAAAAATGTATGAAAACAAACGTAAACAAGGGCGCTTCAAAGTGGAGCATTCCCTCCAAAAGGAGCACATCTATCCCGATTTTAATTATCGTTTCCGTTATTTAGGCTTTCATTCACTTACCTACACATTCACAAGCACCTTACTATATGCCCTCCAATTTAGGAGGTGGGAATATAAAACAATGACTTAATTGGGCCAAAAATGTAGGGTTCTCTTATTTCTTTGTTTATTGCCAAATTTTCCTGCGTCAATTGAAATAACATTCGAAATAATTCCATTTAATTGAATTCAATGCAATTTTCCATCTATCGACATGAAGAAGCATTGCAGGAGCTAATGAAGATATGTCTGTTATTCTGTAAATTTGTAAAAATCAAAATGAATAGATAAAATGCTTGAAAGTGTTTATTTCATGCTTCCATTTACTCTGACTTTAGGTCTAGAAGACAAAAGGGGTTCCGTGTCCGTTCCACACCCGTTGGAGCAATTTTTGATTGATGATCCTTCATGCTGAACAAATTGCGTAGAATTTTTGATGAAGACTACCATGAGTATCACACCAGCCATACAAATAATAACGATCAGGATTGTAACAGTAGTCTGTGATAAATATCCCATGGGGCCCGTAGAATGGTTCTCTTTATTGTTTTCTGAAAAGTTTAATGATAATATCTCTGATTTGATTCTTGTAGTGTGACTAGGGATGAAGCATATTTCACGATTTGATGCAAAAACAGCGTCAATCCCTCTATCTAAGATCCAAAAGAAATTTTGAATCTTTGATTTGAATAACCAGCCTTGTAATAATTGTGCTTTAGTATTAGCATTTAATAAAATTAGGCAATAGTATATTCTCAACACTTTTGAAACGAATGTGTCGATCAAGAATCAGCAGCCTAATATTCTCCTTGAAACATAGATTTTAGTTTTATCATTACTCTCACAAGCAAATGATTGGGTAAAAGTGGTTGCAGAAATAGTGGATTATTATTACAAAGAAAAAAATTCAGCTGTTGCATACTTGCGTCCATTATGTACAATTTATCTGGTCATATAAAGTATTCCCCTACCATTCTGTGTGCTATCATTGGATAATGCACCTAATCGAACTGTAGGGCCATTGTCAATTTCTTTGTACTGATTGTATGGCCAAGTAAAATCCCCACAGGTTGGGAAGTTTTCGGGAGGTTTCTCCTGGTCAGCATGACGTCCCTCCTTGATAATCAAGGTCATTCCTTCCATTTGGTGACTTTTCATGTGACAATGCATGAACCAGTAACCTGTATAATATTTCCATGATGAATGCAGACAGCGACAATACACATTTATGCTTTTAGATAATAAACATTTAAATATATACACTTACCCGGATTATCTAGACGAAACCTTAGTACAACATAACCTTTGCGTGGCACCACAACAGTGTCTTTTAAAGGAGGATTCTTAAGATTAAGACCTGGAGCGTCCCCGCCTGCCCATTCGTCACGTGTCCAGCTCGGACTTTTGCAATTTTTCCCTGCACATTTAATGTCGGTTGTGTCATGCACAATTAATCCAGTTTCTTTGTCCACTTCCGGGTATCCAATCTTAAGGACATGAAAGTGGTGACCATGTATGTGGATAGGGTGATTTGTTCCACCATTTGTTATGTCTACAGACGATATTGGAGGAATTAATTTGAACAAATATACCACTTCTACACTTTTCTTCAACTGGTTCTACATTCTTTCAATTTCTTCTTCAAGAAACAAGCTCTCGCTGTTTTAATAATCTTATACACACTTTGACTTGTATATAAATTTACAATGTTTATATATTCTGTCTTGCGATTTTATCTAACAAGATATGTATTTGTTCTGAATATGATTCTCATTTTTACGAATAAATATAACGATAACCAGCTTACCTGTATTAACAAGAACCATCTGTACTGCCGTGTTCAGTGGCAGCTGATCGTACTTGAGGGTATGAGTACACTCACAATAAACCGCACAGTCGTGGTCCTGGCAGTCATTGAAACAGGTGCGCGCTGGAGGGTCATATGTTATCTGTGACATAAAAAATACACCCCAAATGATGAATTTAATTTTGCTATTATAATTATGTGGCCTTTTATATTGCTAAGCCACTTGTTACATATAATTGTTTCCCGTTCAATTTAAGGGCCAGAGGTTAGCTGTGATGTCAAGAATATGCTATATGAGGTATCAAATGTTCAATTTAAGGAGGCTGGATCCTATTATCAAAATTATGGATAATTTTTTAAGCATATTTTTAGAATCTATACACACTGCTTAATTAACAATTAGAACAAAAAATAAGGGTTAATGGGGCTTTTTTTTAGCGCTACGGAGCATTCAATATGACCTTTTTTGCAATTTAATTACGTCTAACTCATAAATCAATTTTTCAAAGATTTCCCTCAATTATTTTTTATCCAAATAAATTATGGGTAGAATACAGTCTTTTTTCATCTCAAATAGTCACATTAAAATTCGTGACAACGAAAAAAGTTTCAAATTACTTCGCATAGTCAATTATTTGACCTTCTTGCACTCAAAAAATTTCATTTATCTGGCGCTAAAAATTTACCAAGCAATAAAATCATTTCAAAGTAATGACATTTTTCTGAATTTAAGCAGAATAGATAAAATAATTTTATATATTCAATTAAGAAAATTAAAAGTTGGGGGTCTGTGATGCTAATTCTAAGATATTACTAAAATAGTGTAAATTGTAAGCTTAAATTGGGCTATTTTTCCACAGGACTTTCACAATATATTTCCTTTATTTGTCAAATATGATGATAGAATTCATGACAGTTGATTTAATATATAATTTAGGACCAGCATAAAAGATTTCGCTGCACAAAATAACTCTGTGTGCAGGCTGCATGTAAAAATAGGAATCCAAACTTAACAATACTGTGAATACTTCGAGAAAAAAAAGATCGCTTTCTTCTAAAAGACCTTCCGCCACAAAATATAGTTCCTCGCTTACTTCTTTCGGTATTGAATTTATTCATGGGGTTTTAATTAAATATAGTTTAACTAGGATTGTAGAACCCAAATTTATAGTACGAACAAAAAATATTATGTAGAATGTTTTTAAACAGAGACTAAGACAAAAATTTGCTCAAAAGTTAAAAAAAAACCTCTTTAATTAAAGTACAACACACACAAAATCAAGTAAATCTCTAATCAAATATTCATGTCTTCTTGTTTGATAAATGTATGCAACTACGTAATTTACTTTCTTGTCATCGGTCATTTGCAAAATTATTTTGTTAAAAACATCCTTATTGTACACACAAGTATCCCGAAATTGGTATTAAAGATGCTTGATTTACTGAGTGACAACATCTATGTATTTTTGGAGATCAAGTCTTCCAACAACCTGTCGGAATTACCATGGGCACCAGTTGCACACCTTTATTAGCAGACCTATTTTCATTTTCATATGAAGCAGAATTTATGCAGAAAGTTATACATGAGAATAAGAAAATACTTGCTGTGGCTTTCAATTCGACATTTAGATATATCGACGACGTATTATGAATTAAAAATAGTTACCATTCATACGACGATTCGGTATATCCCAGTGAACTTGAAATAAAAAATACCACAGAGTCTTACACATCTTTTTCATATTTGGATATTTTACTAGAAAAAGACGTTGATTCTAACCTAGCAACAAAACTTTCACTTCCCTTATCTATATTTAGCAATATACCCTTATCATCTGCAGATGGAGTTTATCACCTGCATATGGAGTTTATGTCTCCCAGCTGATTCGATACACAAAAGCATGCTCTACGTACGAACAATTTCTAAAAAGAGACCAATTATTAACAAATAATTAGAGGAGACAAAGGTATCAAAATTATAGTTTAAAGTCGACATAATAACCTTTTCAGCAAATACAATCGTTCCTTATTTGGAATATAAAATGACGATTTTCAATCAAATTTTTAGGCCATTATTTTCACACTGAATTGACAATGGATTTTTACATTTGCCCGATCATGACATGGAGCACAAGGCGGGTGTGACCGGTCGACAGGGGATGCTTACTATTCAATTGCACCTGATTCCACATCTGATGTTTTAGAGGTACGTGTTTGCTCTGCTCTCATTGCATACTCTTTCGATGAAATTTTGATCTTGGTTAGTGTTCCTTTTCATATTTCATGCTCAGTGTGGATATACGTCATATTTTGAGGTTGCGCCAAAAAGTCATACCATGCAGTGCTTATAAAAACACTGATAATTTAATCTTTTTCTTCAACTTTCATTCAGAAATAATCCATATATCTTGTAATTTATTCTGTAGAATTTGGCCAGCTCAGCCTCCGGATTAAAACGTAATTGAAAAATCTCGTTAAATACAATCAGAGAGTTCAAAGTTGTATCTGTAACTATTGCAACCAGCTTTTTGTATCAATTAGAGAAGTTTAGGAAAATATATCAGTAGTCTTTATACTCATCCATTTCCGTCCAGATTGAAGAAATAATCCACATGAAGGGAAATCTGACCAAACATTCGTTTATAGTGAGTTCAATTTTAGTATACGAATCTTCGTTTAAGCCTTTCGTTGTCATAAGCAAAGCGACGCTGTTTTGAAAATGAAGAATAGTTTTTATCCATTATTTGTATGCCTGCGTTTCTTGTCTTTGTTAAGTTTTTATATCTGAACACAATTCATTATGACGACCTATCAGTATTATTGTAACCTCGCACCACACAAATCGGTGGTGCAAAATAAACTAATCGAACTCTAGCATTTAATTCAAATGTTCCCTTTATATAAACACACTGATTATGCAAAATAATATAAATGTATTAAAAACATTTTACAGATATTTAAAACAATACTTATGGGCTTACCTGTGGGGGACAGGTGGGTGACTTGAACGTGTGCCCATTAATGGCTGCCATGGCAGGTCTCCCTCTTTTATCTGAAAGTTTTGATACATTTCATCGTCAGCAATAAATGATCGGGTTTTCTGAAATTAATTCTACATTTAGGATTAATTTGTTGATAATATTTTAAAAGTCAATCTGTCTCTAAAAGAAGAGATCCCCGGTTGGTATCCCAGATATTCTCCAAAATATTGTGTATTTACAGAAAATGCGGTTTTTAGTTATTTAAAGTAAAACCAAACTAGAATAGATATTATTTTTAAAAATATACATTTTTTTTTCTTTTTCAAAACAGCAATTTCCTATGTGAACGAGTAACGTTTATTGCGTTAATGACTTTTTAAATCATAATGTACATTCATGTTTATAAATTGTCTAAATTGTAGACAAAAGATGTTGAATTATGTGCCTGAACTTCAAAAAAGTGGTAACAAGTTACTAACAAAATGGACAGGCTCTGCCATATACAGGACGAGAGCAATGTCCAGCATGGCTGCCTTGGCGCAAGCCAGCTGCTGTCTACAAAACACAGATTTTTTTTTCAGAATTATTTAGTGTGACCTAGTAATTGGGGATGTTTACTCCTCCTAGGCACTTGATCCCACCTCTGGTGTTTCCAGTGCTCCTTGTTTTTGCACTGTTCATGATTCGTTTTATGTACTGAATTTATAACATTGACCAATGTTTGTATCTTCACATTTCACATTACATATTAATCTTATATTAATCTTTTAATCAATTATTCTCGGTATAGAGTAAATCTTGTAAATAAGTATTCTAGGTAAAATTAAGTGAATTTTCACAATCGCTCCTTAGGTCCTTAGGTCTTTTGTTTTTGTCCTTTAGTTCTTCCGGATTCTCACCGTGTCCTAGATGTACAGCCATGTATATACGTTTTTTACCATTTTTTACCAAAAAGGTCACATTTATAATAATTTAGACTAATTTTCATTTTCAACCCTGCTTCAATAATTTCATAGCAAAGTTTATTCAAAAAGCAGTCTCTAAATAATTAAAATGTGTCTTTAAATATGTAACCGCGCAGTACAATGCACCTTGAAATTCCTTGACGTAGTTAATATATGTAAGAAAATGCAGTAGATATTTCTGTAGATATCGTTCCTACAGCTAGAACATTAGAGGGCAAAGGTTCCATTCCTTATCATGGTGGGACTTGCTAAAACCGTATTCTGGCTTGGTCTATCACACTGATTGTTATGATTTCGCGTCATTGGGTAGGTCTCGCTGGTTGTGAGAGGGAAAAACAGGATTCTCCCAATATATACATGTAACAGTCAAAACTGTGCACCCAAAGAGTGCTGAAGTTTGAGGCTGAACTCCAAATAAAAGGTGATAACAATTTATTAACAAAAAGTGGACAGGTTCTGCCATATACCGGACGAGAGCGCTTTCCAGCGTGGCTGTTGTGGAGCAAGCCAGTCACTAACCAAAACATATAAGTTTTTCTGGACTTGATAGCATAACATAATCTTGCATTAACACATTTTAAAGATTTTTTTCAATCAATGATTTCCGATATAGAGCAAATAAATAAGTATTCTAAGTAAATTTAAGAGACACGAATGCATTGGCTTGTTATTGTCCTTTAGTTCTCCTTGATTACCGGGTACTGTGGAATCATTAGATGTTCTGGTGGCTCAATATTCTGGGAATTCGTGGGTTATCTGCATCCACTAATTTACATCTTCAACTAATTAATAATTGGGGTTCTAAGAGTCATTTTTCCTTTTGTAGATATTAGTGTATGCTCGAAATTACGTTTCCTCGGACTTATAAAATTTAGGCAATCCAGGAAAATTGTCCACCACGAATTTTAATGAATCAACAGCATAACACGACATTTCTCATTCTGTCATAGACAAGCTATATGTATGATTTATATCACAAATTTTGGACATATACACACCTACAGAATCATTCATTCCAAACTAATTTTGAGTGGATGGAGCCTTGTATTACATATGTATCTTTTATTATCACTTTTAATAAACAAGCACCTGTTTTTGAAACAACTCTACATGCAATGATATTCTGAAGAAAGAAGATAGATTATTTTTTTTTTCGAGAGAAAAAAATCCTCAAAAGAGTTTGGACTTGTATTTCATCTAAATGCTTCCAGTTAAACTTCATATTGTACTCTCTGAAGTCATGACATGGTTGATTATCTCAAGTACAGATCAATAAAAGCCGACATCAATGATTATTAATGTATATTGACATCCCCATTTGTGGTTTGTGGAATGGATTAACAATTGTGATTTGCGGAAAGCACTGTACATTAAGGAATGCCACAATAATTATATTCAATGTAATGAAAATGTTCTCATTTGGTAACAAAGTATAAAACCAGGACAAAGAAAAAGCAAAATGTCAAAGAGAGATATATAATAATATCCGAAATAAAACAATATTGTGGAGTGCAAAGTAAAAAAGAAGAAGATACGGATAAGGTTGTTCCTTAAAAATTTAATGTTTTCAAAAAGTTATTGAAATGGTTTGAATATGAGTTGAGTATATGAATGTGATAAATCATGTAAGAATACGACATGAAAAGGGATCATTCTGGAAATATGACGTCATTAAGTTGGTACATTTTTAAGTTTTTAACAAAAAAGTCTTAAAATAACTCATTTCAAGTGTTATTTTCCTTAAGCAAATAGAATCCACAGCCGTCACCCACTGCAATTTTCGGATATGTTGTGTAAAATCCTTTGAAAAATTACATTTCTGAAAATCTTTGTGGGCAATGCATGTGCTCTATATTGTCCTAGAGAAAATTCAACTGAAAAAAGATGTGTTCTGTAACTTTTAAAGAAAATACGGGAAAATGCACAAGTTCATGACGTTACAATTAGACTTTAAATGGTCATATGAGAAAAACAATTTGTAAGTTCTTACTGCATGGGATTTCAACAACTCAGAGACCATGGGTTTTAATTTATTACTTCACTTTCATTTTTTTAAGAAAAATACAGGACCAGATTCCATTGAAATTTACCTTGTCCTTTCCCTTTTAACGCCTGTTGTAATTTGATTTTCGTACATTTAAGCTAAATAATAAAAGTATTTACATAATTATAACATACTAGTAAAGTGAAAGTTGAGAAAGTCCTCCCGAATTTTCTCGCCAAATGGCAGCAGTGGAACCGCTTGTCTACTGACCATTTCTTGTGTAGACCGGAAGTCAGCTGTTGACTTGCAAAGGATATTAGCTTCAGCAGGGTACAGTCTGCAAGAGATAACGAAATACAAAATGAGGTAAAATAGATTAAAGCAATGAAACTGACATGGGAAACAGCTTCTATTTTTGAAAAAAGAAATAAGTTTTTTTTCCCTATAATAATTCATTGAATATTATTTAATATCAGCATATATTCTTAAGATGTACCCTGCAGTTCATATTTTAAGCGTAACATTTAAAATGAACTTGTTTACAACTTACTGGAAAGGACAATTAAGGACTTTGCACACTTTTTCTTTGCTACATTTATGGCGTGTCGTCTTTGGCAGTTTCTCTGGTGCGTCTTCATATCTTAGCACTGCCAAAGCCCTTCCAGGATAAATTTGGTCCTATTTATATTTCATATAATGAATTTTCAGTTGAAAAGTTTCATACAAAATACCAATTCAAAAGGTTCTTGGACAATTGTCTTTGGCATTTTGATTTTTTTTTTGTGAATTTATAATTACAATAATCCATGTCAGTATGTAAAGTTTGGTTTTGACTGTTTAAAAATCACAAAGCCACAGAAAAAACGTAATGCACAGGTTCAAATATTATAATCTTTGAAGTAATGGTTCTGGATTAGCAATGTATAAAAATTTATGATGATATATTTCATAAAGCAAATCAAAACTAAATGAAACTTAAATATGACGTAATAAAAACTACTGACTTAATTTTCTGAAAATGTTCCCATCGATTATTGAGAAAATTTCATGTAAAAGTTGTAGGAAATTAAATTAAATATATCTTTAAACATATTTTTGAAAAGGTAAGAAAAAGCAACTTCGGCCATGGAAACGGACTACATGAGTGCATCATTAAATAAATAGTTGATCAGCTGAAAACTTTTTTTATTGCCAAAAATAATTGAATCAACTGGGAATAGTATGAAAACTCTTTGTTCAATTATCAACTAATGGCAAAAATTGGCTTTCAGACAATTTTGGACAGGCTACAACGACAACTATAACACGTATGTGATGAAAAGACAAAATCTAATACTTAATTTGCAATCATTAATCTGGGCTAAGGTCGGACTGGGCCCTGTGTCATGAATGAAGATAACTCTTGAAAAAATATCATGTACTGCCTTTATATTTCCCCAGTCTTACATGTTTATAATATTATTAAATTTGGTAATAATTTAATCCTTTCGAATGAAAAAAAACCAATTAAGTTTTTTAACTTGAGAAAGTTCATTCTTAAACTGTGTATTAAATAAAAGCAATTCTTCGTATCCTTCAAAATTTCTAAAAATATGTTTGACCAATCTTGGAGTTTAATAGAAAACATAACATTTGCACGATAGTAGATAAGAAATGGGCTAAAACCATCCAGTCTGGCGTTGGATGCTAGTTAATTCTATAGCATGCTTATATCCCAGAAAGTCCATCCCTTGCTTTCATAACCAATTGCTGGAAAATGACTTTTGATTGGTATTTTCAACCTTATTTTCTAAATATTGTAAATTGCTGTATTCAAAAATAAATCGGAGTCATGGCAGATTGAACTACATGTAATATTACGGTGGTGAATTCTATCGTTATTTACGTTTAATTTGCTTTTAACTTCAGTTGTTTCTGCCCGAACATAGTAGTTCCTTTTGGGGTTCCCGTCTGTTTTAACCAAGATGTCAAAGCTTTCACCGCTGGAAATGATCAATGACTGCGCAGTCTCCAACTCTACGTCATTTCCGTCGGTAGATATGACATGGATCAGGTGCTGCAAGTTAAACTCGTATTTTATGAAGGAAATATAAATTATTTGATTATTTAACTTATGAAGTATTTTCAAGAGTAATTATTAATTTACTTTTTTCATATATGCAATAATTTTTTTCTCGGAAGGTCCCTTTTTTTCTACCGTTTTTCTATTATTTCAGGTACATGAAGTAGATGGGATCTTTCCTGGTAAGGTTATCAATTAATTACTTCAAAGAACGTTAACCAAAAGAGAACATACATGTAATCATATTATTCCGTTTAAAAAACATACCTCATCAACTGAGAACCGGAATGTAAACATCATGGCAACGTTGATGATCCGGAAGCGGTAGTACTTATCAGGTTTTACCTTGAATGTCTCTATGGGAAGTTCTGGAGATAATGGTTCATACGAATCATGGGGGTAAAAGTGACCTGTTGAAGGAATTTGACATACAGTTGCACACAAAACAAATCATACTGCGATGTTTTTTTTTCTGCACAATTTACTAACGTTCAATAAATATACATTAGGTCTCAGACTCTATAACCCAATTTTGTAATTTGTAAAAGCATTGGATTTAGGTCGAATGTTGACTAGCGTTTTTGATACAAATTGTTACGCCATAATTTTTATACTGAACTGACGGATTTATCTACCAAAGACACATGGTTAATAGTTAGTGTGACAGGGGTATGCCTAATCCTCCATGGCACCTGATCCCACCTCTGAAGTTTTTAGATATCCATGACTGGTTTACTTTTGAATTATTTTTATTGTTTATTTGGACTTTTGAGCATGACTACTGTTCGTTTTCTTCATATTTCACTCAAACTTGAGCCTCAGACTCGTTCCATTGACTCCCGTTAGAGGGAGGGATAATTCTATTACATATAACTCTTAAGTTTGCTGAGGTACATGTATCATTTCTGAAAGTAATGCTCATACACACAATTCATCAAAAAATCGCATGAAAAATAAATTCACTGAAACAAAAGCCATTTATAATATATAGATATATAAGAAATGCATTTATAAATAATTAAGTAAAGTTGTTAACAACTGATCATTCCAGTGTAGCATTTCTCAATCAAATTAACATTGATTCATATGTTTAAATCTGATAGAACAAAACTAACTCGGAAAAGACATCATTTTATTTAAACACATTGATCCATTTACATGAGTTACCGTCATTTTTAACACAAACACTTCCGACAGTAGAAAGGTTATGCGCCCGCAATGTTCACATTTACCCGATTCGTAGGATGAAACAAACTATGACTGATCACAATGTACGAACAAAACAAAAACATTACCTTTTCCGTTTATGAGACCTGAGTGGAACGGCACTACTCCAATTAGTGTTCCGTCCGCGGTGTGGGTGGGATGAAAGCAGTCATTTGTGCAATCAAAATTATTTATGTACCTGGTACATAGGAAAATACCGATATAAATATGTCACAAATTCAGAAAATCATTGCAGTTTGTGGAGAAAAAAAAATTAAGTAAACCATCATGATGTAAAAAATACACAGATAAATTAAATAATTTCAAACACCTACAATGTAGAAGGAAAAATTTTCTATATACATGTACATTTTTGATTTATAAAATTATTTATTTTGTTTTTCTTTCGTTAATATCACTCAAACATAATTGCTCTGTTTTCTAAATTTCCAAAGTTATGTGTTTTTGTATATAACGAAATTTGAAGTAATGAAGAATCTGATCCTTTAAAAGGAAAAAATGCGAACAAGACGAGAAAAATGCCTATTATTCGACAAATAAAAAAATTAAAAAAATCTCAATTTCAACATAATTTTCTTTGATATTTCAATTCACATTAACGTATACTTTGTGAAAAATCTCCAACATTTGCATCAGTGTCACAAAGATTGAAATAATGTGTCTATAAAATAGCATACATACAACAAAAAGGTAGAAAAAGATCATTTCTTCATACTTCTTCACAATTTTTCCATATCAGTAGGTCTTTGCTCTACTTTTTTGGAAGATTATACTTAAAATATGCGTAAAAATTATAATTTTTGGGTAACAAAAGCATGGAGCGAAGACCCAGGACCCATGTACCTTACAAATGCACTTTTTTGACAAAACATTTCTATCTTTCAGAACAATATAAGTCCATTTAGTCAAGGGACATATCAGAAACATGATTTATGCCGCTAAATGTATTTGTCATCAGTAGTATATAGCGTAGTGGATAGTGTGATAGTTACGAAGAAATAAAATGATACTCAGGTGACTTTTATTGCTTGGATTCGAACCCTAAGAATACCACTTCTTCTTCATTATTATAGAATGAAGTTTTTTAAGTCACTAATTTCATACCTTTCAATAATAAGAACTTTAGAAACTAAATTCACAAGCTCGAAATGGCTTTTATACATTTAAATCTACATGTATTTTAGGCATTTTGCAAGCCTTTTTTGCCCCCATTGCCTGATTCTACTCACAAATGCATATTAGAAAGTTGGATTTGGACACTTTCCAAGGAGGATATGTTCCTGTTCCAATCCTGGATCATCAGGATAAAGTCGTCCTCTACTTCCGGTATGTCTAATCTCTCCTCACGTGGGAGGACGATCAAAGGTCCAGCCAAGCCGTCTGTTCTCATTGTTCCCTGATGGGCGTGGTACCAATGGGTACCACGAGGTTCAGCCTTAAACCTAAAATTTACGAAATGCAATGTTTATCCTTTATATGGTATATAAAGGAAAAATTGAAAATTAAGACACTATTAAATCTTTTACACCCTTTTTGAGAAAAAATAGTGTTCATTCATTAAGTTTGTTTTTGTGAGTATCACTGGGATATATATGTAATTGCTTAACTGTAAGAATTATATTAGGTCATCAATTTTCATAGAAAAAAAACACAAGGCGAAATACCAAAACCTTAATTAAGCAAACGGCTTGTTAGATTTCAAATTTAAGATATGATATGTTTAGCACCTGTACAAAAATGAGTTGCCAGGGCTGATTGGACACTGGGTAACCATGGGAACCCCATCCATCCATGGTGTGTTTTTCTGAGTCATTCCGTGCCAGTGAATAGTGAAAGCTTCATTAGACAAACTGTTCTTCACTAAGACTTCAATCTGTGACCAGGTAAAGATTTAATAATGATTTATAATGATTTGAAAATTAACAAAAGAAAAGGTAAACAATATTATTTTCTTGTTCAAGTTTAATTTCTAGAAACACTTGATCCTAAAATATAAAAAAAAAGATGAGGGATATACAAATTAATGTTACTTTAATTCGATATGGCACAATTCATTCCATTCACAAAACAAATAATTCTTTGAAAATATTTCATCATCCACTTTCATAAAAATAATACTTCTATTGGTCAAGGATAATTGAAGATCAATTATGAGACTACAGTATATATTATTATACTCGTTTCTTAACATATAACTGCCATGGTTTATGCACCTTTAGAATTGAAAGTGTTTTTTTTTTTTAAAGTAAATGAACTTTTGACGTTCGCAGAAATTTTGTGTAAAATGATTTTTTTGCGAAAGAAGACTAGTAACGTAAAACGGGTAATTATTTGAAGAATTTATTATCAAAAGGGGCTCAAAATATTTGCCTATCGTATTTCGATGAATTTTAATTTTATAGGAAAAATTCAGTATTTTTAAGCCCTGTATTGTTCAAAAGTTCTTGCTATTGATCAATGAAAGTCTACCAATAGTGATAACACCGAGCTTTTAGCCACGCGTGTTAGTTCCTGTGATGTGTTAATCCCAAACTGGGTAGGCCAAAAGGGAGGGTGGAGTTGCCCCCCTGGCATATTCCCAATTTAAAAAAAAATTTAAAAAATGCCCCCCCCCCCCAATCAAATAACAGGATTTTTGAGCGGAGGCAGTAAACATCTTCCAAGCCCCTTCTGTTGCTTGTAGGATTTTTTTTATGTTGCCCCCCTGCCTTTTGAGAAACGTTCCTACGTTGCTATATATATATATATATATATATATATATATATATATATATATATATATATATATATATATATATATATATATATATATATATATATATATATATATATATATATAGTTGTTTTTGTTTCTCTGTTTCCTTTGTTTTTATGACTTCTTAACTTTTTCTTTGTCCTGAGGAAGGGGCAGGTCGTCCCGAAAATTTGACAATTATTATTGTTCGTGTCGATGGTTATTTTAGTGCTTTGTATACATATATATATATATATATATATATATATATATATATATATATATATATATATATATATATATATATATATATATATATATATATATATATATATATATATATGTATGTATGTATGTATGTATGTATGTATAAGCAGAAAACTTTCTGCTTTAGATTGATTGTATAATGTTTTACGCCTCATGTTTACTTATATAGAGGCGTCACCATCACCATATACCTATACTAGGTACTCAGGGCCATTGAGTTGTGAGGAATCTTTATCGAGCCAAACCTACCGTGACCTTAATTTTGAGGTCTCATCCGAAAGACCGAGACTTTCACTTCTACTGCTGGGCGCTTGGCAAAAGAGAGGTCAATACTTAATTACGTGTTGGATTTTACGCGGTGCGGCGAACGTGAATTCACCCGAGCGTCCCGATCACAAAGCGAACGCCTTACCACCTCAGACTAGAAAAAAACTCTTTTTTTTAAATGATCAGAAATTTTGATGCTCTCTGATTGGCCCAGTCGCTCTCTCCTGAGGTGTACCTCATCAAAAGTTAATTGTAGAGTGTATTGACTATTCTTTGTCAAGTTATTATACGTATATGTCTAATAGATTACATGTACGATTCAAATAGTTTTTAAGCGAACAGCAGTTGTATATGAGTTAGTTGTCCTTTTAATGTTTATCTACATTTAATACAAGTGTTCCAAGTTCAAATCTTCTTGACAAATGCTACTTAAATATTGATGTATTTAACTTACCATTTGCCCTTCATATACAACTATAGGTGGACCCGGCATCTCCCCATTTATGCTAAACAGAAGTTTATGAGCACCATCGACGGTCAAAACTTCATCCAGTTCTTAAAGAAGAAGAAGAAAAAAACTATTAGTTTTAAATACGCATTGATATTGATGATTGATTATTGCCACCTTAAATGACTTTGTTAGTGCTGTTTGATTGTATGGATCTTTTTCATAAGGATTGTTTTATCTATTTGTAACATGATTGATGTATTTTTTTTAGCGAAAATATTTTTTTTTAATTTTGCTTCCAAGTAAGAGTTTTTAGAGCTTGACATTTGCTGTCATGGTATCAATATTTCATTAAACGTGTCAAGAATACACGTTAAGGAATTGATTGATCATAGTCTAAAGTCCGTTTGAACAATACAAACTGAGCGCAGAGCCAACACGGACCACTGAAAACAGGTGGAATCATGTGCCATAATAGAGTAAGCATTCCCTGCCGACCAGTCACATTTGCCGCGTGTCCCTTGTCACGATCGGGTGAACGGAAACACCCGTAGGGATTCAGTGTGAAAATAATGGCCTAACATTTTGTCTGCAGGACGTCAATCAACATTCGACTTAATGACAGATTAGTATTACAAATTAAGTCATAGTACCAAACATAGATTGTGCGAAGTGATGACTTTAAGTGAGATTGTTGATCTCCGTGCAACATCAATTTATTTATCAATAGCCTGTCTCCACTGGAAATTGTATACGCTGGTAATATAGTATGTTGTCACGTAAATAAGGCAGTTTGGGATAGGAAAATTTATTTGTCATCTATGTCTTTCTCAAATAAAATATCCAAATATGAAACAGATGTATCAGACTCTGTTGTATTCTTTATTTCGAGTACATTTTGTGTGATATATAAAAAAAACTCAGGAATGGAAATGAAAATTGTTAATTGAAAACGCCATTGATATGGCTAAATATCTCAATGAAGGCAAAAGCTAGAGTCTTCTTTTTATGCAGATTTTTAATATAAATTCTGCTTCATATATATATATATATATATATATATATATATATATATATATATATATATATATATATATATATATATATATATATATATATATATATAGAAGGGTCTAAAAATAAAGGGTACAATTAGGTCCAATTGAATTGTTGGAAGACTTTGTCTCAATCTTCCTGAAAATGCATAACATTGTTTGTTAATAATTTCTTAATTTAATACATACATTCATCAAGAATCGTAAAGAAAAAAAAATCAAAGGAGAAAAAAAAATGAAGTTGCAAAATAACTTTTTTTACTGTCACCATCTTAATTGAAATAAAAGCGTTCTAAATCAAACGAATGGTCATTTTTCAACAGTTTTAACAGCTATAATTTTTTGCAGCCATACTTTTCATTATTCCAAAAAATCTTAAACGCATTTTAAATACATCAACTTATTCCAGTTGGAAAGAATTTAGACACCTATAAATAAAGGGTAAACCGACTTCGAATCGACGATTATTTTTGCCACCGTTACCTATATCAGTTACTTCATACATGTACAGATCCATGAGTAAAACTATTCTTTTTATGTTTGTTCGTAACATTATTTTCTTATACATGACGTTTCTATTCTAATTACATAGATTATAATATTTTTCAACGGAAAATAAAATAAATTATACTGGGAATGAAGTTTTCAAAAGCAGGAAAGCTTTTTAAAATTGTTAATATTGAAAAATTTAAGGATAAATAGCATAAACATTTTTTTCTTTTTAAAAAATAAATCAGCAATATTTGTAATAGATTATATTTATATAAATGACATGAATAATGTGTGTCTTTACGTAAGTGTGAATGTTGTTATAAGATTTTACATTTCCATAAATGTCATAAATGTCTGGAGGAATGTGTATAGATTCATGTAGAAAATGGCACAAAGTCGCATATTTCAACGCCCATGAAAATCGCCAATTTCTTAATATTTTAGGATTTATTATTGACATTATTGGCATTCAAAATATTATCAATCAGATTTTTGTTTGTTTTGTGATTCCTTAAGTTATATCAATTAAAAAGTAAATATACATGTATGTTCACACAATGCCTCTTAATTTATGGATAACTGCAGCAAATAAATGTAATGCATTTTTCACGAATACTTAAAATTCATACATTATCTACAATAAAACAACAACGAATCACTGAGGAGAATAATCACAAATGTTCCTTTTAATTTTGAAACCGTTTAAAAATAGGTCCACTTCAAGCCTTGAAATTCTTTTGGGGAATTCGAAATGAACGATTAATATGAAATTTTTAAGTCTAAAGGAAAGAATACATAGAAAGGAAAATAAAACTAAAAATGATATTGGACCAATTTTACGTTCATGTTTTATTTAAATACAGTTTAGGTCTTTGGACAAAAAGTGTACATGCAATACTTTAGCTGCTAGCATAGATGACGGGGCTATCTGTTCTTTAATCATATATACAACCAGCTTCTGCTTTGCACTTGTGAAAAAAAATATATTTAAAGAAAACTCCCGTCTCACGCGTTAAGTAATTTATAAATTAATATAATTAATATTTATGTATTTATTTATAAATTAATATAATATATTATTTAATTGATATATATCCTTATACCAAACATTAAATGTCCTGCATATTTTGGGGGACAATGGACAATCTTATATTTATAGTAAACTAGCCAGGGCCGAATTCTTGTGTCATTGATCTTAGCATGAATAATTCACATCAGACATAACGTGCTCCATGACAAATGGGAAGATTGAAACACATGCATCTTCGATCCAAGCATGACATGTGAAGTTGATTTATACATTACAAGATTTTTTTTACAAACCAAATTTTGCGTGGATTGACGTTTTTACTACTCTGACCAAAGGTCAAGGTAGGAATTAATCGTTTTTGTTATTTCTAATCGTGATTTACTTTGAAATTGTCCTTAGTGCCACATATCTTTTGTACAGTCTTAAGTACAAATTAAGATTTTTATTTTAATTAAAGAAGTAAAGAAATTTAAATAGCACAATGTAGGTGGGTAGTAAATATAGATATTTAATTCCGAAGTCTCATTTAATATCTGAATATACCTTAGTTTTGGAACACGTTAAAAAATATTTTTAAAAAAACTGATCATGAATTTGTTTATATTTGTGGACCTTTTTCGGTAATAAATAATGCAAAGTTGAATTTTTAAAAAGTAAGAAATTCTATGATGTCCAAAATTGTCATTATCCTTAATCTATATTTATAGGACATTTTTGAGGAACTTTGAAAAATAAAAGGAAAATTTTGGTGTCTAAATTTATTGATTTTACGTATATTATTATACACAGATTTAGTTCGTATCTTCTTGATTTCTAAAAGAAAACGTTTTTTCTTCATGTTATCAAATATGTGTTATGAATAAAAACATTATCTACTTGAACATGCAAATATTAAGAGAGAGAGAGAGAGAGAGAGAGAGAGAGAGAGAGAGAGAGAGAGAGAGAGATTGGAGATGGGAGGGAGAGAGGGTACATACCTTGAGGAGTAAGAGGTACAAACTTCTCACTATTATATACCAATCTTCTAAGTAATGTTCCGTTCCTCAGCACAATGGGACTGGCGTACCCGTTGAAATAATGAACCATGGAGAATTTGTATTGAACGTCAAATTCAAATTTACATACATCTTCAGTTTTACTACAGGCAGGGATCACTCGATGCTTAAATCCACATAGTACAGTAACAAAACAGCAACAAAGGAGAAAACATTGTAGCACATAAGCAATGCCGAATTCCATTGTCTTTGTAAATGGACCTTAATGCAACTTTACCGACCCCCAGATCTAAGTTTAGTTTGATAACAGTGAAGTTAAACCGTTTTTCAATTAGTTGATTACATCCATTTACAAAACGTTCAGAGACTCGCTGTACATGTACTTGTGATATTTCTTCTACATGTACCAGCAAGAGTCTTTTATTCTGATTAGCTAAAGAAGGTAGTCACAAGACTACCGAAGTACTATTGACATTGTCTTTTTTCCCACGTGGTACATACTGTAAATCTATATATGTTTGAACCGATTTATTTTTGCGAACTTGGGTCAAAATGGTATGTATTAATTTTTACTGTTCTAAATTTTGCAATTTCACATCATTGCTAAAAAAAAAAAAAAAAAAAAAAAAAAAAAAAGAAACCACAACCAAAGAATTCTAGTATTTTTCATAAATTGTGATGATATACATGCTAAATTCAAAGGTGCTGAATTTAATTAAGGAATGACTCTAATTCTTGGCCAAATTATTCGAGTATAACCTGGTTTGGGTCAGTTTACGCTTTATAATCCGCGAAGCGGATTATAAAACAGCGTAAACTGACCCAAACCAGGTTATACTCGAATAATTTGGCCAAGAATTAGAGTCATTCCTTATAATTTAATTTTAAAATCATTAAATAACTATGGGTGTAAAATTTCGTTGCTTTTTATTAGTTCAAATTTGCCGCTCAATAATACAACCGTAGTAACGGAAATACCGGAAGTGATGGGAAGCGAGGGGAGGTAAAAACTGATACATAGGCCTAGCAGCCTTGTTGTTTGTTTACATGTGGTAAGATCGAATTATTGTTTGGTACATTTATAAAATTTGGAATTTTCCATGAATCCCGAGGACTGGAAATGAGAGGATTGTATGGATACAGATGATTCAGCTGGTTGTCAGGGGGGGTGTGTCCCCATACCAAACCAGGTTATACAGAAATAATTTGTGTTCCTTTTTGGATATTAACCAATCAGAGACTAGAATACAAACACAATTAAATTATTAAGAAATAACACGATTAGACAATAGCTGTCTGAGGTTATTGAATCAATAAATAAGTAAATTGGAGGGGTGCTGTGGCCAATTGTTTGTCAAGTAAAGCCTCAATCACTACCGTTATTGTCTTCAGAGTAGTGTTAGGCCTTTTAGTATGCATACAGATGAAAGGTAAAAATGAATTTTTAAATATTTTAGTTCATTTGAGTTGAAAAATATATTACTTTAGAGCAAAATTTGCATTAGTCTGGTTCTATTTCCTTTTACTGCAAATCGTTTGTTTAAATAGTAAAGATGCTGGTAAATTTTTATAAGATAGAAAAATATTTTTACGAATGGTTATTTCCATTCTTATGTCGATACGGTATATCCCGGTGAGCTTGAAATAAAAGATACCACAGAGTCTGACACATCTGTTTCATATTTGTGTATTTTACTAGAAAAAGACGTTAATGGTAATCTAACAACCAACCTTTATGATAAACGTGATGACTTTAACTTTTCAATCGTCAACTTCCCTTATGCAGCAATATACCTTCATCACCTGCATACGGGGTTTATATCTCTCAGTTGATTCGATACGCAAGAGCATGTTCTACGTATGAACAATTTCTAAAACGAGGTAAGTTATTGACAAACAAGTTAATGAAACAAGAATATCATCAGTCGTTAAAGTCGTAATTTTGTAAGTTTTGTTGACTGTTGATTTTCTTGTTATACAGACTGAACCACCCCAGCCCCCCCCCCCCCCCCCAAAAAAAAAAAAAATTAAAAAAAAAAACTTGTGCAGTTAAATCAATATTGACTTTTGTACTTTTGTGCTACTCGGCCTGGATGTTGCCAACATAATTACATTACCACATGGTCAACGGGAAATTAATGTTGCAAGTGTTGCAGAAAAAATAGATAAACATCTACGTATTTTTCCCTGCAATAGCTGCAAAGTTAATTCTTATACTAATGAACAAAGAAATACATTTTATTGTTTATATCTTTGTCTATATATATAGTCATATAAAGTAGGATTAAGTACGTTAATTTTCTTTATTGATATGTACATCATTGTATGTTTCATTGAAGGAAGAGCCACTGCTTTGTTTAGTTTAACTGCGTTAAAGCATTGATAAATGGCCGTGGTTTTCATAAGAATAAAGATGCTATTCAATGGATGTAAATACACCTGTATCTTTCATTTAATATTTATAACTTTAAATATTGTGGGTAGATATGGGACGGCATACATATTTCTAGAGCATTTCAGACCAATATGTTATATTGATTGATTGATTGTATCTTGTTTAACGTCCCATTCGAGAATTTTTCACTCGTATAGAAACGTCACCATACACCGGTGAAGGGCGTCAAATTTAGACCTATACTCAGCACTTAGGGCCATTGAGCAGTGAGGGTTCTTTATCGTGCCAACGCCTACCGTGACACGGGACCACGGTTTTCAAGGTCTCATCCGAAAGACCCGCAACTTTCACTTCTAGTGCCAGGTGCTTCGCGAAGGAACAGTCACTACCTATGTTTACGTCTTTTTAAGGCTACCGTGACCGGTTCAATATGTTATAAAAAAATGTTTAAAATACTTCTTTCGTCTGTAAGATATGAAAACTATGAATTTTGGGAGTGTTTGATTGTTTTCAATTCAGTGCTCACGTGTAGAGGGAAATCTGAGGTGTATAATAAAGACATATAAATTATAATCAAGAAAAGCCAAAAAAGAAATATAAGAAAGCAAAACTATCACACCAGTGCTGCCAGTTTTTGATCCTTGATGCTGGCATTTTCAGCAAATCGAGCACACCTGGAAAATGTTTTTGTTTGTTTGTTTGTTGTTTAACGTCCCTCTCGAGAATTTTTCACTCATATGGAGACGCCACCACTTGCCGGGGGAGGGCTGCAAATTTATACCTATACTCGGCACTCAGGACCATTGATCAGTGAGGGATCTTTTTCGTCACGTGCCAACACCTACTGCAACACGGTACCTCGGTCTCATCTGAAGGATCGGTATCCACGTCTCGCAGTGCAATACCTGGAAAATAAAATATGAAAGGCTATGGAAATTGAATGCTGCCGGTGATTAGTTCAGCGACTATTTCACGATGGGCAAATAGCACAAATTTCACGGTACCTAGGGCTGTTTAAAAAAAATTAGGAGGCTTGTTAGTCATACTTCTATAAAGAAACAAATTTAGAGGAGTATGATAAAATAAAATATATTAACAGCTCGTGCTCTTGTTTACAAATACAAGTGTTTGATGTAAGGTTGTGAAAAATTGCCATACTAAAAAATTTCATGTACACTGTACGTTCAATTCATCAAGTTGCTATTAAGTTGGAATGGTATAAATTAGAATTGTCAAAATTATAAAGAAAACGGCATTGCAAGTGTGTCCAAGCCACTTTAAAGTTCTCTCGAAACCAGTTTTTCTTCCGCAATGAGATGACGAGATTTGACTTTATTTCCAATATTTAAAATAAAATTGTAAATATTTTTTTTTTTCAATAGCAGGGTCAAATTCATTGTAATAAAGACAAACCAGGCATAAATAAAAATAAAATGTCCTAAAATTTAGGATTGTAAGGTGAACTTTTTTTTTCAAATTCTTATGTCAAAGAATCAAATAAACCATTATATGTAACTAGAGCTAAACGTCAACAAACATCAGTTTCACCATCCCTGTCAACAACTGATTCTCTACCATCAACTACTTTTACTTTGCTATAACCACTCAGGTTCAGCAAAGGCATCACCATTACAACTACATGTAAACTTTCAACATCAACTTCTGTTCATTCTGTCAAGAAAAGTTGTTTGACAATCACCCATTGATCCGTTAATTACATTGAAAAAAGGTTTAATTTTATTTCTAGTTACATAAAAAAAAAAATACAGAAATCACGTACTATTTATCTGTTGGGATATTTCATGGATATTTCAACAAAACAAAAAACCTGATAGGAATGTTCAGGGAAAGTCGATGAAAAATAAAATAGAAAAGAAAATTTATATTTATTTCAAATTTGCATGAAATACTTCACAGTTAGAAACAAACGTGGAATACAATCTATACACAAAATGCCTTTATATACAATTGTCCCACGTTTCCAGCTGTCATTAGTGACCTGGATAGAAGAAAAAAACTAGAATGTGATTCCTTTGATAGCTGCACATATTTTACGGTTGCTTTTTTAAATAAAATTTGTTGAAAAAAAAATGAAAACAAACAAACAACCCCCCCCCCCAAAAAAAAAAAACTAATTAGATTAAGAAAAAAAAAAAAACACTGGGAGTCTTCGGAACAGCTTACATTGGTTTAAATCATTTTAAGCGTCGACATGAATTAAGGCGAAAAAATAAATACATTTGTTTTACTTTTGAAAGTTGGTTCCTATTTTAATCTATACTAAAAAGCCTAACATTTCAAACGTTTTTCTGAGCGGCCATAAAAATGATGTTTGACCGCAAAGTGAAATATTGGACCTGTCGATAAGATACTGGATCGCTGTTGACGGGATCAGCTAAATCTTATTTGCATTCGTTGGTGTTCTACAGTGATAGAATTGACCGATTTTCTGTGCAGGTAAAGGAAATTTACATCATGGAAGCCAGCACAAGATATATGATTATCAAAAAATAAAAGGTATAGCAAAACATTCATTGGCTGTGTTCTCGGGCAAAGTGCGTTTTGTCGACCCCTCGAACCAAACTGTTTGTCATTAGCGACCTCAGTCAAACAGTTCGTTTCTTTGATCCGACAAAACGCATGTTGCCCTCGAAACGTTACAAAAATGTACTATAATTAACAATAGTAAAAATTTGATGCTTTGATTTACTTTGAAACTTTACTCTGGAACTTTTTTTTTGAAATTTCAAAGATCAAAATCTTTTTTAATTCGGTAACAGTGATATATAATTTGGAAATAATATGTGAATATACAAATAGTAATTCCATATAATATAAAAAATGTGCGT